CCCCCCCCAGCTAACTAAAACAGCTCCTGGTATGTTTGGCTAGAGAGTGGATAGTTTATAATCCCTGCACTGGAAGTTTTTGTTTTTTTTTTAAGTTTATGTATTTTGAGAGAGCACACGTGGGAGGGGCAGAGAGAGGGAGAGAGAGAGGATCCTAAGTAGGCTCCAGACTATCATTCGCAGAGCTCAGTGTGGGGCTTGAACTTGTGAACCATGAGATCATGACCTGAGCCGAAACCAAGAGCCAGAGGCTTAACTGACCTAACCACGCAGGTGTCCCACCCCTGTACTGGAAGATTAATTTGACATTTGTATACAGGATTGATTAGAGAAGAATGTAATTAGGGGATCTGAGGTAATAACTAGTGAAAGTCTGAACCAGAATGGAGGTAGGAGAAACAAAGAGAGGAGAGCAGAGTGAACTGGAATTAACAACACAGACTGGCAGATCTGATCAGCTCATGTGACGTGGGTTGGGGTTGAGATGAAGGATATAAAAATGTTTCCAAGTCTTGGTTTGATAAGTAAATTGTAAACGTTGTGCCCTTTTTCTCCTAATCCTTGAGTGTGTATTCCCTATGAACAGGGATATTCTCTTACATAGACAGTACAGTGATCAAAATCAAGAAATTTAAACATTGATACATTACCAGTATCTAATTCATAATCATATTCACATGAGGTCAATTATTCCAGTAAGTGTGTATTTTTTTAATACACTGAAAATCAATATCTAAGCAGAAATAAAAAATCCCTTGTAGAGAAGTAGCAGAATCACATAACAAGGTGTTCTCTGACCTCATGCCTTCCCACTCCCTGACAGTTCCCAGCCACCCTCCAAACAGAACTATATTATGGCCCATGGAGTCATGATGGAGAGTATTATCTTCTGCCCATGCACAGGGTGAGGATACAGTAATACTGGGGAGGAAAGTCCTCGGGAGAAGGCAGGCATTGGGAAACTGAGTTGCTTTGGCATGCAGACGAGAAGTTCCATGTAGCAAATATTTATGATCAGCTACTATGAAGAATGCAGGAAGGAGATAAGAATACCTATTGGGAAGGTCTGAGGATGCTTCTTAAAGGAGACAGGATTTGTGTTCAGCCTCCACGGAGAGGCAGGACTTCTCCAGAAGGGCCTGCTTCCTACAGACACAAGATATTTTGGAAGCAGTCTGCTTGCTGGGTCAAAATTGTAATCCTGGGATTCATGCTTGTGTATACAGTTAAATATTTATAGGAATGGTGACATGATAGAATATATCAAACAGTAACGTGGCAAACAGGTTGGTTGTAAATTTGAACTGTGTGACAAATGTTTACCATTTTTCTGATTGGGACAGAAAATTGCTTTAAAAAGGTAATGAGGAATGAGAAAATTGTTTACTAAGGGATATAGAGTTGGAAAGTACCTTTCCTTTTTTTCTTTTTTTCATTCAGCCCAAGTATCTCATTCAAGGATATGTCTGTTTTTCCTCCTGATTGTTTACATCTTTTAGGGGAGCTATTATCATTTAACCTAAGGACTTTGTGCTTCCTTTTCAAGGTAAGGACCAAGGATCATGTGTTTGATAATGTTGGCCACCTTATCAGATACCACATGGATAATAGTTTGCCAATCATCTCTTCTGGAAGTGAAGTAAGCCTTAAACAGCCAGTGAGAAAAGATAATAATCCAGGACTTCTGCATTCCAACAAATGACAATATGGAAGTACCATCACACTGATATTTCAAGAAAGTTCATTTTGTGTTAGGATACAAAGATAATCCAAACTTGGTTGATAGATAAAATAGAGCACAATCTGTGAACTACATTTTCCCAAGAGCATCATGGACTATGTCCTTTATATGATAAAGAATTAACACAGATCGATCTTCAGAAAGTGAAAATCAGAAAAGGGGAAGAGGATTGGTCCGTCTGAGAAGAAATTATCATATGCACGGATGTCACTTTTTAAGGCCATATTGCATCGATAGCAAGCTAAAAGCACAATTAAAATTTCCCATGCTAGAGACTACCTGGATGAACTGCTGGGGCAGTGGTATGTGCCTTTCAACTTGATAATTTGGGGACATTTTCATATTGGGGAGATTAGTTCTAAGTGTCTTCATATTCTATAACTATAGAACTATTTGCCAAAAAAAAAAGTTTTTCCTTGTTACAAAAATAAGACGCAATTTGCTGGATAGTTATTGACTTTATCAGATTTTCTGTTTAGTAGCACTTTCACTACAATGATCAAATAAATTTGACATTGAATTTGGATGGTGTCTATGCCAGTGGAATCAAAACAAAAGCCACTGAAAGCATTGGTCTGTTTCATTGGCCTGTCTCATTTACTAGCCAAGGGTTGGGGCCTAAATTCTTTGGCCTAGTATTTCTCAGTCTTTGCTATTTGGACACTTTGTATGCAGCACAGAGCAAGCTGAAGAACCCAAATCTATCAGTCATTTCTGATTCCATCGTGGTTCTCCCCCTTTCCTTCCCCTTCCCCTCCCACAAAGGAAGCTCATGCGTGCATGGATTTAAAACACGGCAGACAAACCAGTGTTCTTCATATTCAATATCCAAATTGGTTTCATTCTTATTAAAGTATTGACTCTATTTGAAAGTATGGAGAAATATCCTCTTGATTGACTATGACTGAATCTACATGTATCCTTAGCATCTTTTCTAGATATGATCAGACAAAATGCAGAAGGGAGAAGACATATTGAATGAAGCAGTTGGAAGGGTTTGCCACATGTAAGTACACTGGTGACCTGAGGGTATAATTAAGTGTTGTGTAGAGAAAAGTGCTGGACAGTTTTCTCTATGTGACTGTGAGCGAGCTGCTAAACCTATCTGGACGCCCATTTCCTTGTCTATGAAATAAGGGAATTGGGCTAGGTGAATTTAGAAGTCTATCTCAGCTGTAACATAAGTCTATAAAAAGCAAGTTTTCCATTTATTAGGGGTCGGTGTTGATAATCAGTTTGTGTCATTAAGACGAAAGCTTGAGCTTTTTCCTTTAGCCTGCATCTATACTCCCAGAAGAAATGGCACAACTGAAATCAACATTTAGGTAGCAGAGACCCCAAGCCTTTAGTCAAAGACATTGAACCTTTGGAGTGCTATCAGGATGATGGTAGAAGTGGATTTGGTTGTTTGGAGTAGAAGAAAACTACTTCAGTCTTTTAGTCACCTTTGCATATAATGGTTTGGCCATGACTTTGGGGTGTTTTTTTTAGCCCGAGTAATCTGGACAGTTGCCTTAACCCCACTTCATTTTGGCTCTGTAGATACAACTTAACCTTTGTAATTGCGATATATTTGCTAAGTTTTAAATAAAATACAAGAAAAATTTTTTGGGTAGAAATCATCAGAAACCAAGTGCACTGAACTCTAATATTTTTCTGTAAAGGTTTATGATTTTATTCTACTTCTACTGCCACTGATTGCATAGGTAGGTTTGTTTCCTTTTATACAACTAGAAAATAATGTCTCTTTCATCAGTTTTCCATATACCTTGGTTCTTGATTGTCCATCCTCACAAAGGGGGTTAGCATGAGTGTAGATCATAGAAATTTATGGGTGATCCAGTCACCTTTCAGAGACAGAGCAGGGTTGTGGTCTCAGTCTGTTTGAAAAGAGTGTTAACTGGGTCACAAGAAAAAGTTTCTGATACAAATAGATGCCAAGAGTATAAATGATGTGAGTAGCACATGGGCACTGGTACATGAGGCACCAGTACATGGAAAATCCGTGTTTGACTGTAATGTTATAGTAGTTAGATAAGCAAATAATGCACTTACCAAGTACCACAGACACAGTTAAACCAGAATGAAACAGCAGAAGAAATGTTTGATTGCATGCTATTTTAATGACACACATTTATCTTCATCTGTTTTAAAGTGGAAATCCATTTGCCTATAAAATACCTGTAAACAACTTTTCAAAAAAAAAATAAATGATTATTTCTTTGTGACAATTCACGGTATTTATGTCTGATGTTTGGGATGTGGAAAATTTATTTGCAGGATCCTGATCCTAACCGGAAACAGATGGCTCACTTAAATTGGGTAATTTGAGGAGAGTTTAATAAAGGGACTATTTACAAAGGTGTGGGCAGAGTATGGGGAAACCACCAGGGAGAATGAGGTGCCCTGGGGCTAGCGAATGGATAAGTGGAAAGCACAGTAACAGAATCTGGAGAGAGAGAGCTGTGGAAAGACTGCCTTTTAGGAGGTGTGGCCTCCAGTGGAGGGACTCCCACAGCCCTGGTGACCCCACAGTGAGGAGGCTGGGCACATTATACTGAACGGAAGAAAGAGCCTTTTCAACAAATGGTATTGAAGTAATTGGACATCTGTAGGCAAGAGAACAAATCTCACACTTCACATAAACATTAATTCAAATGGATTATGGATTTAAACATCAAATGTAGGGGCGCCTGGGTGGCTCAGTCGGTTGGGCGTCCGACTTCAGCTCAGGTCACGATCTCGCGGTCCGTGAGTTTGAGCCCCGCGTCGGGCTCTGGGCTGACAGCTCAGAGCCTGGAGCCTGTTTCGGATTCTGTGTCTCCTTCTCTCTCTGCCCCTCCCCTGTTCATGCTCTGTCTCTCTCTGTCTCAAAAATAAATAAACGTTAAAAAAAATTAAAAAAAAAAA